TGAGTTTTTATCCTGACTGTCACTAGGCAACTAAGTAACACAAGTCACTCTGATTCTCTGGGGCTCAGTTTCTTCACCTGTAAAATGAAGAGATTACACATGATGATCTCTAAGGTCCCTTTCTAGCTCTAACATTCTACGTTCTGAGATTCCTTCCAGCTCCAAATTCTGTAACTATGATGCTACCAATCCACGCTCAATAGAGCTAGAAAATGAAAGCAGTGGACCACGAGAGCCAGGCCAGGGCATTCATTATTCATTAAATATCCTGAACTCAGGTATTTAAATGTTTTGGGGTGGGTTTTTTTTAAGATCAGGATGATAAATTAAAATATAACTAAGCAAAAAGAAGACTCATCTAGATTTCTGAAAAAGAAAGAAATCCTAGATATATTAAAAATAGAAAGAGTGCTAGACCTTCTCAGCCTGTTTCCTCATTTGTGAAGGAAGGGGGTAGGGTGAACTAGAGGCTCCCTAAAAGTCCCTTCTAAATCCAAATCTACAATCCAATAATCAGTAGTAACTGGCCTTAAAATCAAGAAGATCTGGTTTCAAATTCTCTCTCTAGGGACAGTTGTGTGGCGCAGTGGATAGAGCACCAGCCCTGGATTTAGGAGGACCTGAGTTCAAATATGGCCTCAGACACTTACTAGCTGTGTGACCCTGGGCAAGTCACTTAACCCTGATTGCCTAACCAAATTTTAAAAAAAACAAAACAGCAGCAACAAATTCTCCCTCTACCACATACTGTCTGTGTGACCATGGATAAGTCATCCGACCTTCTGATACACCCAGACAACTTTCTAAAATCATAAACTACAGAGAGTTGCCTATTGGAGTTGGTGGAGGAAATATTCATGCCAAGGAGTCTCCCCACAATAATTCAATTATAGGTCTGGTCAAGAAAAGGGGAAAAAAAATCCCCCATAATATTTTATCAGAAAATAACCTAGGCAATACTGAAATCAGATTTTGGTCTTCTCCCCAGCCTTGGTCCTAGGTCATATTACTTCAAGGTCTTCAGCTAAGGGGTTAGTTGATAACATTCAGTTATCAGTTCATTGAACACTGATAAAATATCTATCATGTACTAGGTGGTGACAGGCTTATGACACTCTCATTGTATTAAAGGCATCTTAGAAGACTAATAAGCCTTTGAGACCCCAAGAAATATCTCAAAATGTTGAAATTTCAGGCAAGGCCAATGGGGGAGAGTATACCTTGACCTTGGCATGAGTGGCAGGGGGAAGAAGGAAGTTGCTTTCTTGTTCCTCACAAATTATTTTATGACTCAATCTTTACTTATTTGTTTATTTTTGGTAAATTGTATTTTATTTTTTTTTCCACTTACACATAAAGATAGTTTTCAATATTCATTTTTTTATATAAGATTTTGAGTTTCAAATTTTTTCTCCCTCCCTCCCTTCCATGCCCCCTCCCCAAGACAATAAACAATCTGATATAGGTTATACATGTGCAAGCATGGAAACATATTTCCAAATTAGTCTCTACAGCTCAATCTTGCTGCTGCTAATAATGACCAATGGATTTCAGTTTTTAAGTCTGCAGAAGATAAGAATGGTGTCCTTTGAAATTCTCCATTCATGTTTTCCCAAATTAATTATAAACCATATCTAAATGCGAGACTGTCATAGAGAAGAAAAAACAGCCCAGATGCCAGGAAGACCTGAGTTTAAGGCATACCTCTCATACATCCTGCCTATGTGATCATGAACAAGTCCCTGAACCTTAGCATTCTAGGCTGATGGTGTCAAACTCAAGTAGAAATAGAGGCCATTCAAGGCTACATAAAGATCTCTGCAGATCTGCACATTGACTTAATTTTCTTTGACTGAATAAAGCCTTTATTAAGGTCTAATAAATAATAAGTGCTTACAATGTGCCAAACACTGTGCTAAGCATTGAAAATTCAAATACAAAAGTAAGACAGTCCTGGCTCTCAAGGAGCTCACATTTTAATGGGAGAAGGTGTTAGCTGCATTGACTTAATTTGCAAATGTAGTATTATCAATGTTTTATTGTATTTTTTTCCTTATATATTTCTCAATTACATTTGAATCTAGTTGGGGCCCCTCTGAAGAGTGTTCTGTCCCATGTTTGACTCCTCTATTCTGGGCAAGTCTCTGAGACATCCACCATAATTGCACCTCTAGGATTTTTAAGAGGCATCAGATATTTATGTTGATTTTTCTTTTGAACCTAGAAACATATTCTAAAAGTTGCTTCATTTGTTAGAATATTAGAATGTAGTAAGCTTTCACCCCAATCCCAAGGCGGGGGCGGGGGGGGAACTTGTTGGCTATTTTGGAGTTTGGTTACCTGGGGTCTTGTTATTCCGAGTTTTACTATTAGTATGTTAACAAATACATAGTAGAAAAATGCTTGTTCATGTTGACTGAATGGAACAATTCAATTCATTTCACTGACCAAAGTTCCTACCTTTCCCTTCCCCTGTTTTCTTCCCCAGGGATATTGATCCAAGTGAAGATCTGTGGTGCCCCACCCTCCCATTACACACCTTCATGAGCAGAAATTCAGGGATCGGGAGTCAACTCACATCACAGAGGCAGGTCCCAAGAGGAGAGAGAGAACAGTTGTTACATGGTTTCTGACTCCATGGTACTCTCTTTGTGGATGAGCTCACAAATAAATAACCCTGACTGCCAGAGATGCAGGTTTCCCCATCTGTGTAATCACAGGTTTTCTGATCTATTTCATAACCAAGACTTCAGAGGTTCCTACTTTGTGTGGTGTCATAGAAAGAGGAAGAAGCTGAAGATGTGGTTTCAAGTCCTGGTTCTGCCTTTTACTCCCTGTGAAACCTTGGGCAAATTACATTTCCTGGGCCTTGGTTTCCTCATCTGTAAAACAGAGATGATGCTAGCATCACCAACCCTCCCAGGGGTAGCGAAGGTTAAATGGAGTCAAAATGAGTACTGGCTAGTTACAAAATACTACACTTGACTATGAAATGTGCCGGGAAGAGACTCCTCTAGTTTGTAAGTGGCCAACAATTGGACAAGGACCATGTGGAGGCTTCTGAACCTCTGATAAAGCTGTCACATGGAGTGCCACAGAGATTAACTAAAGTGAATCCAAACACTGCCCAGGGGTGTGGGTGTGGGAGGGGAGATAGTCTTAAGGTTATCTGAGTGAGGGGAAGCTTGGCACTAGGGTAACAGATGGTTTAGGCAGCAAAAGCAAACCTTTCTGAGGCAGATTGGGGTTTTTTGGGGGGGTTTTTTTTTTTTTGGTTCTTCTTGTCACTTGTAAGGCTCAGCAAGCAACAGCCTAGGAAACATTTTTAGCTGACAACTCGGTGTTGCTCAGCACCGCTGCCACAAGAGTGAGGAAAGTTAGCAAAAGGCCATCCCCCTCCCAATCAAAACGAAGAAGGGGAGGGGGAGGCAAGAGAAGGGACAGTCTGACAGCCAGTCCTGTGGAAAGAGTGTAAGAACTAGAAGCTTTAACTTAAAAAATTTTAAGCAATCCCCTTTCATCCATTGTTACTTTCTCCCATTTGGCCTGAAGAGCAAATCTTATGGTTACCTCCAGCCTGGCTTTTGTTTGGGGGTGTCTTATTTTTTTCCCCAGGGGCTGGTTAATGGCTGAACAGTTTTCAGATGAGACTGGCTTCCTGAGCTCATGCACGAGCTCCCAAAGTTCAAGGGTAAGAAACATGATCTTCAGTATGTGCAGGGTTGGCACATCCCCAAAATATTTCTGAGTTTACCTGTGATTTGTTAAACCACCAAAGAAAGAAAAATTCTCCAGTTCATACTCTGAGGTTAGATCCATTGCACCGGCTGCACGGTTAACAGCCTATGTTTCAGATTCTGAATTGGAGGGGAAGAAAACTCCACTACCCTGGGAGAAACTAGACATATGTTCAGAGGCATAATCCCAGGAGACATTTCAGATGCTATTATAACACTTGGAAACTTTAAGGAACTGCATTTTCCCCAATGTCTACTCCCTCCCTCCCAGGGAAGCAGCTCTTCCTAGTATACCAATTCTTAACAGCCAACCCTGCGAAGATGGATCTCTCTAAGCTAAAAAAATGTGGGGAGTGGGTGGGTGTCTGCTAATACAGGCTGTGGTTGGGCCGATGCCTTTCCATGGTGGTAGGACCCACCAAAGCTCATGTTCCAATTGAATTGCCCTTGGGAATGGAAGGCTATCTGATGCCAACTCTAAGACCCGAAACCAACTATCCCAGGGCAGAAATATCCTTAACCGATAGCCCACAAAGTCTTTTAGGACTAGAACTCTAGAGTGCAGCAATCAATCAGTCAATTAATAAATATTCATTAAGCCTACTATGTGCTAGGTACTATTGTGCTAAACTCCGTGGATACAAAGAGAGGCAAAAGACAATCCCTGCCCCCAAGGAACTCACAATCTAATGGGAGAACGAGAACACTCCGACCTCACTCTCCACTGAAGTTTCCAAGACCAAGAAAGGGGTTTGACGCATTTACCCTAACCCTGTCCTACTGAGGTTTTGATGGCAAAACAAAAAAAGCAGCAAGTTTTGAATCTAAGGCTTTGTAAATTATTAAGTAATCTGAGCAGATGTCACGACACTACGTAATTTCTCTGATGGTAGAAGTGGGAAAAGGAGTTTTTAAAATGATGACTGGAAACGAATTCCTTAAGTAGTGAAAGACAATGGGACTGCCTTGCCCAGTTACAAAAGTGACTCTTAGCCCGCAGTAACGTGAACCCTGCGGACGCCAAGGAGAGGCTGCGCTGGGGTAGGGAGTCCTGAGTCAGTAGGCTCCCAAAGGTGTGCGAACCACTGCCTACTTCTAGAGAGGGGATAGTACGAATATTCGCATCCAGTCCCTCCGCCGCCACCCGAGGGACTGAGATCCGGAAAATGGGCGCATTCCGAGTTTGCACAAGCAACTGACAACACGCAGGAATGAATGCACTTGCTGGTGCGCGATAGAAACGCGGTGCTGGCGTGCGCTTACCTGTGCATTCCTGGATAAAGGATTGGTACTCGGTTCCCTGTTCTCCAGGCACAATGGTGGACCCGTTGTATTTAAAAGTCACCCTTCAAGACGAAAGTAAGAAAAAACAAAAAACAAACATTTGGATCTGAATGGTGACAAGCTTCCAAGAGGTCATCAAAACCAAAGCAAAAACGGAGCATTGGCTTTAAAAAAAAAAATTGTATTGGATGGGAGGACTTAAAAGGTTGTTTCTTTACCTAAACCCGTTTACTACCCGAAAGTGGTTCAGATGAGCCAGCCACCCATCCATTCCTCCCCCCCCCCCTTTTTTTTATTGGGTAGAGAGGCTGGGATCAACTCACTACTTGTAAAATCAATTACAAGCTCACCTCCGCCTAACGGCAGGAGGTCAGCGGCCGCTGGGGCTGAACTGCATTTCGTGCAGCTCTGAAGCTCTTTGGCCGAGGAAATCGGGGAACCAGACAAGTACGCTGAAGCTTACCAGATGACATTTGTGCTATCATCCCGTACGAGATTGTACGCCTCCCGGCAAGCTTCTTTGTCGATCTTTGTGGCCATCTCTTGTGACCAGAAACTGGATTCCAAAAAAGAGAGGAAAGAGTGCCAAAAGGGATGAACCAGTTGGGGAAGAGACAAGGGAAAAAACCCCCAGCCCTTGACAATCCGAGAGGGTAGGAGGGTCCCAGAACTCAGCAGCACCAGCTTTATCAAGATCCAAAGAGGAGTGAGAGACTGATGCCAGAGTCTAGTGCTTCTAATACCACGGTAGGAGATAGCACTGCCCGCTGCCTACTGAATGAGCTCTTAAGGAGGAGCTTAACCCGCTCACTGCGGGCTTGCAGGGCGACTCGCCTTCTCTGCGCTGAGTTAAGTCTTTGTCTATTGGTCCCGAGTCAGCCGGCTTGCGCCGGGGAGGCCACGGCCTCTTTTCTGCATTTCTGCCAATCAGAATGAAAAGCAGTCGGAGCGACACCCCTATCCAGTTGGGCAGAATGGTTTTACCTCAAACTCCCCCTCCCCCTCCTTCTCCTTTGGCTCCCAGTCTTTTTCTCCTCCTCTTCTTTCGATTCTGCTCTGCTGCAAGGCATTACTGGGATTTCTGTGTCAAGTGATGTAACCGACTCGACAGAGGAGAGCTGTAAATGCTAGTTTGGCACAAACCAAAATCCACTTATTGGCTTCGTGATTTTTAATAAAGAAATTCGGTAGACTGAACATTTTCATTATAAGCGGGGAGATATAAAAACCTCATGAATTAAATGCACTATTCTTCATAGGAGAGGATTTTAAGAACTGCAAGGGATTTTTGAGAACACTTAACTCAACCCTCTGATTTTACAGAAGGGGAAATTAAGACAGAGATTTAGTGGCTGGCCCAAGGTCACGCAGGTAATTGATTCTATGGACGATCAGCTCCAAGGAAGATTTTAAATGTTCGTTTGCAAATCGCATTCATTGTGTATTATAAGTAATTGACCAATGGAAAACTTCTTTGGAATTTATTTAGAAGAAGAAATGGATCCCAGAAGGTTTTGAAAGTAGAAATCCTAGAGATTGCAGTCCAAATATACAGTCAACAAAACATTTGCTAAATGACTTATTTGTGCTTAGCTGTGGGGCTATTAAGATAAGATAGACTCGGCCTTTCTGGCCTTTAAAGATGGGAGATCACAGTGGGTAGAAGTTATAAAATCGTAGGCGAAAGCTGGAAGAGACCTCGAGGTCACATCACTCATAAGATACTCCATCTAGGACTGGAAGGTACCTTACAGATCAACCAGTCCAACTCATTCACTTAACAAAGAAGGAAACAAGCTCAAAGAGGTTCCTTGACTTGCTCAAAGTCAAACAGTTATCAGTCAGACGTAGGTCCCCTGAATGCTAATCTCAGTGATCTCTCCACTGTCACCCCTGCCTCCACAGTTATTATAATAAATCTAAGTAAATTCTCTATCCAACAAATCCCAAACAATAAAAGAAAATAAGGCTCATAAGTTGGGCAGTTAAGTAGCAGTGGATAGAGGGCTGGGCTTGGAATCAGGAAGACTCATCTTCATGAGTCCAAATCCAGCCTCATAACTTACTAATTGTGTGAACCTGGGCAAGTCACTTAACCCTATTTGCCTCAGTTTCCTCATTTGTAAAATAAGCTGGAGAAGAAAATGGCAAACCACTCCAGTATCTTTGCCAAGACAATCCCCTTTGGGGTCACGAAGAGTCCAACAACGGAAAGGATTCAACAACAACAAGGCTCATAAAAGGGTTCAAAGTTCCTGGGATATAGAGGCAAGTATTGCATGATATTGAGCAATATATTGTCTTATATTTATTTGTAAAGAATATACGCAGTTTTCAAAGCATTTTCACATTCATTAATCATTTGATCCCTATACCATCACTTAATAGACATGGGATCTTGGTCAAGTCATTTCCTTTCTCTAAGTCTCAGTTTCCCCATCTGTAAAATGGAGATAATGATGCTTGTAGCCCTCCCTTTTGGAGAGTTTTGTGAAAGGGGCACTTAATAAAGCTGTTGTTGTTCAGTCCTAGCCAACTCTTCGTGACACTTGGAGTTTTCTTGGCAAAAATACTGAAATGATTTGCCATTTCCTTGTCCAGCTCATTTTACAGATAAGGAAACTGAGGCAAACAGAGTAAAGTAACTTGTCCAGGGCTACACAGCTAGTAAGTGTCTGAGGCCATGAGATTTTTTTTTCTTTTCTTTTCTTTAATTATTTAAATTGACACATACTTATTTTCTCTCCCTCTTGCCCTTTTTGTTCCGATTTATAAGAGAAAGAAAAACCTAGTGACCAACAGTCAAACAAAAAAAAAAGTTAAATCTTTTTGATCCTTCTAGGGACCCTACGGGGGAAGCAGGGGATTTTATAAATGAGCAAAGAGAAATTTAAAAAGTTGCCCAGAGTTAGGGTACCCACAAGTGTCTCCCCAAGTTTCCGTTCCAATGCTTCACTCTCAACAGAGCGGGAGGAGCCAAATCACGGAATTTCCCAGTTGGCAGGGAATTAAGGAGACATCTAGCCTAAAACAGACCTGAACCAGAATCCATCCCCTGCACAACCTACTCAAGAGTGGCCATCTGACCATCCTAGAAGAGCGTCAGTGAAGGAGCTCTTAACCTGTGGGTGTGTCCTGGACCTCTTTCAGTGGTCCGGTAAAGTCTATTGGCCCCCTTCTCAGATTCATGTTGTTATATGCATAAAATAAGAGGTATAAGATTATGAAGGAAACCAAGTTGGGGGTGAGGGGAATGCTTAAGAAAATCTCTTTAAAAATTTAAAAAAAAAAGCGTTCAAACTCACAGACCCCAGGTTTAGAAGCCTTGTGTTAGTGGATCTGAAATTTAGAGTTGGAAGCTACCTTTGAAGTCAATTAACCCCACCCCTTCATTTTATAGAAAAGGAAGCTGAGGCCTAGATAAATTAAGTGACTTGTCCAAGGTCATACACCAGTCAGAGCCAGGCCCTCTGACTCCAAAGAAGGAATAAGTTGGAACAGCCAGATCTTGATTAAGATCTCAAGTTTGGGGTGTGTGTACACTTTTATTACCTTAGGGCAGAGTTACCCAAGTCCTTGAGTTCCTACACAGTGATGAACGAAAAAGCTCTCTGTATCAATGAATCTCTCCTGGTTGTGGCTGACCCCCCCTACTGGCCTCAAAGTGTAAAGCACTTTTGTTTTTAGATTGGTCTAAGATTTGGAGGATCCAAGAGTATTAGAATTACAAAGAGATGATCTGGACTACAGGTTCTTAATATTTTTTTATGTCATGGACCCCTTTGACAATCTGATGAAGCCTATTGTCAGAAGAATGTTCTTAAATGCATAAAATAAAGTATATAGGATTACAAAGGAATAATAATAATTAGCATTTATATAGCACCTACTCTGTGCCAGGAATTGTGCTAAATGCTTTGCAATTATTATCTCATTTAATTCTCATGGTGGGTCCCATTATTTTCCCCATTTTACAGTTTGAGGAAACTGAGGCAAACAGATAAAGTGACTTACCCAGAGTCACACAGCTAGTAACTGTTTGAAGCCAGATTCAAAATCAGGTCTTTGTGACCCCACACCCAGTGCTCAATCCATTATGCCACATAGCAACCTATAAACCAATTATATTGAAATATAGTTATCAAAGTATTTTTTTTTTTAGGCAATTGGGGTTAAGTGACTTGCCCAGGGTCACACAGCTAGTAAGTGTCAAGTGTTTGGTCTGAGGTCGGATTTGAACTCAGGTCCTCCTGACTTCAGGGCCAGTGTTCTATCCACTGCACCACCTAGCTGTTCCTTCAAAGTATTTTTGGAAACAAGTTTACAGACCCAAGGTTAACAACCTCTGTTCTAAAAAAAAAAAATAATGAAAATAAAAATTTTTAAAAGAACCTCTGCTCATTTGGAACGATGCCCAAAGGACTCTAAAATTGTGCATACACTTTGATCTAGCAATACCACAACTAGTTCTGTATCCTAAAGAGATCATGGAAAAGGGAAAAGGACCCACATGTACAAAAATAGTTACAGCAGCTCTTTTTGTGGTAGCAAAGAATTGGAAATTAAGGGGATGCCCAGCAACTGGGGAATGGCTGAACAAGTTGTGGTATATGAAAGTAATGGAATACTATTGTCCCATAAGAAGTGATGAGCAGGCAGATTTCAGAAAAAAACTGAACTTATATGAATTGATGCTGAGTGAAGTGAGCAGAACCAGGAGAACATTGTACACAGTAACAGCAACATTGTGGGATGACTGACTTTGATAGACTTGGCCCTTCTCAGCAATGTAATGATCTAAGACAATTCCAAAAGCCTCATGATAGAAAATGCTGTCCACATCCAGAGAAAGAACTATGGAATCTGAATGCAGATGAAAGCATACTATTTGCTCTCATTTTTTTTTCTTTCTTGTGGTTTTTCCCTTTTGTTCTGACTTTTTTTTTTCAACATGATCAATGTGGAAATATGTTTAATATGATTGTACATGTATAGTCTATATCAGATTGCATGCCATCTTGGGAAGGGAGGGAGGAGAGGGAGAAAAAAATTTAGAATTCAAAATCTTGTAAAAGTGAATGTTGAAAACTGTATTTGCATGTAATTGGAAAAAATAAAATACTATTAAGTGGAAGAAGAAGAAAAAAAACCTCTGGTCTAGAAAGGGATCCATATGGACAAAAATATTTATAGCAACCCTTTTTATAGAGGTAAAGAATAGTACACTAAGGGAGGGGATTCTCATTGATTGGGGATGGGCTGAACTAATTACAGTATCTGAATGAAATGGAATACTATTGTGTTGTAAGAAGTGACAAAGGGGATAGTTTCAGAGAAACCTGGAAAGATTTGGATGAGCTGATGCAAAATGAGGTAGGCAGAATCAGGGGTACAATTTATACAAAAACAACAGCAGCCCTGCAAAAATTAGCTTTGAAATACTTAAGAACTTCGATCAACACAATGACCAACCATAGTTCAAAAGGAACTTAATAAATGTTTATTGACTGGCTTTGGAATTAAAAGATATGATCTGAATCCCAGTTCATTTGCTATCTATTTGACTTCAATGAAGTTATTTCATGTCTCTGTTCTTTCTTTTCTCTGTTATGCTCCTGGTAAAATAGTGGTTGGCCTAAATCAGCTTTGAGGTCCCTCCCTTCCAGCTCTAAGTCCTATTATTTTACAAAATAAGAAAAGAAAGACTAACTAGAACCAAGTTATAGAAGGGCCTTCAATGCTAGGCCCCAAAGTTTGGATTTCATTCTGGAGACTTTAAGGAATCATTCCCAAATAATCATCAGCATTGGACTGTGGGAACATCTCCACTGTATTTCTCTGCT